ACTGATGCTCAGTTACTCAGCCCCAATCTCTGCATACAAAATAGCAAACAAACATGATTTTATGCAATTCACAATTTTGGCAGCTTGCTTTAAAACTACACCTAGTTCTACAGACTCACTGTGGTCTTATTTATTCAGCAGTTGTGAAGTTTATAGATATTCTTGAGCTCATGATGAATGATTGTTTTCGTAAAATGCTTTTTCACCGAGCACCGTCTTTGAGGTTGAGAGAGAAATATAGAGAGAGGCTTCTAGGTTCTTCATATTATCAAATTGTATTTCTTTTTATCCATGCCTTGCTGCTGGTATAATCCTTATGTATATTCCTGAGTCTGGTCCCTTGTCCTTCAAAATTTCACACAGTCCTTTCAGGTACAATATGTGCAACTCATCATGCAAGCGTGGATTAAACAGAAAATTCATTTTTTATCGACCTTGACTCAGTTAGCTGGTTTCAGTCTGAAGATAACATGGCCATTTCAATGCAGCCATGGGACCTCTATTCCATATGGTTTTCTTTGCTTTAATCTGTGATTAGATGACACAACAGCCATTTTAGATTCATTTTTGCCCTTTTAAAAACCGTTTTTAATCAATGTAAGGTATGGTAATTAGATAATAGAAGCTGAATATTGATCGTCCACTTTTATTACATTGTACATGACATTTGTAATATTAAACATAAAATATCAATATGACTGTGATTACAAAGATTTCACATTTAATATTTTTTGAGGACTTGATTGTTAGAGGATTGTGAAAAATTGATTTATTTCAAGTTCTGTTGTTGCCTGGGTTGTTATCTTTTTCTAAAAATAGAGGTTGCACTGGAATCTTTTTTTAAACTGAGGCATTTATTGGACGTGACATGGTTTCAGTTAATTGATGGGCTTGTTTGCTGGAGATCACTTATCTGAGTTTTATAATTACCAATGAGCTAGTTTCTGTGTAATATTGTTTTGCATAAAGTTGGTGTCCAGCCTGCTGAAGAAAAGAAGCTTCTCAGCTCAACTCAAATAAACACAAAGAACTGCAGATGCTGGAAATCTGAAACAAAAATCAACAGTGCTAGAGAAACTCAGCAGGTCTAGCAACATCTGTTGAGAGAAAAATAGACTTAATGTTTCAGATCCAGTGACCCTTCATCAGCACTATGCACCCTTATTTGTTCTAGAAAGGTGGTAGTGTGCTGCTGATTTGAATTACAGTGGACCTTGAGATGTAGGAATTCCCATAGCACTGTTATTAAAGGGACTTTCAGAATTTTGACCCATGGCAGTTAAGAAATATTTACACAGTTCCAAGCCAGGATGATGTGTGGCTTGGAGTGGAACTTGCACGTGATGGCCCCCATGCATCTGCTGCCCTTGTCCTTCTAGATAAATTGTGGATATGGAAAGTGCTGTCAAAGGAGCCTTTATAAGTTACAGGAGTATATCTTCTAGATGGTGCACATTGCTGCCACTGCATTGGTAGTGATGGAGTGAATATTGAACATGGTGGATGGAATGTCAATCAAGTGGGTTGCATTGTCCAGGATAGTATCAAACTTCTGCAGTCTTGTTGCAGCTGCACCCATTCAGGCAACTGGTGAATATTCCGTTATTCTCTACAATTGTGCTTTGTACATGCTGGACAGGCTTTGGGGAGTTAGGAGGTGAGTTACTCTCTGACCTGGTTTTGAAGCCTGGTTTAATTCAATTTTTGGTTTATGGTAACCCCTAGATTATTGATAGCAATGGATTCAGTGATGGTAATGCTAACGAATGTCGAGCAATAGATTTTCTCTTTTTGGAGATTGTCATTGCCTGGCACTTGTGTGGTGCAACTATTACTTGCTACTTACTCAAGCCGTAATGTCTCAAATACCAAGAACTCAAAATTCATTGGCTGCATCAATATCTGAGGAGCTGCGAATGGTGCTGAACATTGGGCAATCATGGGCAAACATCTTTCTACTGACCTTATGATTTGCAGAAGGCAATTGGTAAAGCAGCCAAAGGTGGCTGAGCATAAGCCACTACCCTGAGGAATTCCTGCAGTGATAACCTAGAACCGAGATGATTGACCTTTAACAACCATAAAATTCTGTCTTTGTGCTAGGTATGATTCCCATCACCTTGGCTCCTTGTTGCCACACTCAGAACAAAGATGCCTTGCTATCAAGGGCAGTTACTGTGGTCTCATCTCTGGTATTTAGCTCTTTTGCCCATTTTGGACCTAGGATGTAGGGACCCAGTAACCCTGTTAGAACCCATGCTGAGCATCATTGATCAGACTATTCATTTACAAGTGCTGTATGGTGGCCTTTTTCATGACCCCTCCCTTCACTTTGCTGATGATGGAGAGTAAATTAAAAGAGCAGTAAGTGTCTGTGTTGGATTTGACCTCTGTTTTTGTGAACAAGACATTTTTCCAAATTATCAGGTAGAGGCCAGTATACTGCAACAGCTAGGGTATGTGCCAGCTAGCTCTAGAGCACAAGTCTTCAATATGATTGCCAGAATGTTATTAGGGCTCATAGCTTTTGCAGTATCTAGCATCTTCAGCCATTTCTTGATATTACTAGAATAAATTTAATGGTTAAATTCTGGTAACTGTAACACCAGGATAGATCATCCACTTCGCATTTTTGGCTAAAGATGGATGCTCCTTTTGAACAGATGTAGAGCTGGGAATATTTGTGAAGCATCTCCTCCTGTTAGTTATTTAATTGTCCACCACCATTCAAAACTGGGTATAGCATGACCAGAGAGCTAAAAGCTGATCCATTGGTTGTGCAATCATTTAGCCATGACTATTGCATGCTTCTTCTGCTGCTTGGTATGTAAGTACTCCTGTGTTGGGCTTCACCAGGCTGACACTTCTTTGCCTTGCTGCTTTTGACATTCCATCTTGAAGCCTTCATTGAACCAGAAGTGATCTCCTAACTTGATGGCAATGTCAGAGTTGGGGATATGGCAGGCCACGAGGTTATAGATTGTGGTTGAATACAATTCTGCTACAGCCGATGGTCTACAGTGCCTGATGGATGTTCAGTTTTTAGTTAATAGAATCATAAAGTTGCTTGATCTGTTCAAAGTCTGTCCCATTTAGCACATTGTTTCTGCCTCACAATATACTAGTGAGTATCCACAATGTAATGATAGTACTTTGACTCCACAAGGACTGTGGAGTAGGCACTCCTATCAATACAGTAATTGACAGATGTGTCTGCAATGGTAGATTGGAGAGAATTAGGTCAAGTGAATTTTTCCGTTGTTGCTTCATTCATATCTTACTTCAGACCAAGTCTGACAGCTATGTCCTTTAGCACTCAGTCAGTAGTGATTGCTATTGAGCCATTATTGGTCGCTGCAAGTACTGGACAGGTTTTGGAGAACTGGAGGTAAGTTAGTCACGACAAAATTCCTAGTTGCTGACTGGCTTTAGTAAACATAATGCTTATATGGCTGGTCCAGTTCAGTTTCTGGTTTATGGTAACCATAAGGTGGTTGGTTGATGGTGGGGTATTCAGTGATGGTAATACCATTGAATATGATGGTTGGATTCTCTCCTGTTGGAGATGGTCATTGCCTGGAAATTGTGTGGTGCAAATGTTACTTGCCACTTATCAACGCAAGTGTGAATGTGTCAAATATGAAGAACATAAAATTGTACACTGGCTGTGTCAGTATCTGAGGAGCCACAAATGGTAGTGAACATTGTACAATCATTAGCACATATCCTCTTTATGACCTTATGATGGATGGAAAGTAATGTATCCTTGACACCTCAGTGCTTCCTCTAAATGGTGTCCAATGTGGCAGAGTTTTGATTCATCAGCCAAGGAGAGATGGTAGGTGGTAATCAGCAAGAGGCTTTTCTGGCCCATGTTTCACCTGATACCATGAGACTTCATGGGACCGTGAGTCAATGATGAGGATACCCAGGGGGACTCTCTCTGGATTTTATAAATCTATGCTGCCTCCTCTAGTGAGTTTGACCTTCCAGTATGATAGGAAATAACTCAAGTGTGGTGGTGGTGGTTGTGTCTGGAATATTGTCTGTAAGGTTTGATTTCATGAGCATGACTATGTCAGGTTTTTGCTGTAGCAGCAATTTTGGCACAAGTCCCCACATCAGTAAGAAGGTGTTTGCAGATTCAACGAGGCTGGATTTGCATTGTTGCTTATGGTCCCTACATCCCTAGTTTCATTCCTTTCTTTTGACTTCGTAGCAGTTTGATACAACCGACTGCCTTGCAAGGCCATTTCAGAGAGCACATATGAGTCAGTCATATCTGAGGAAGGTTCAGTGGACCCGAAACGTTAACTCTGATTTTTCTTCACAGATGCTGCCAGACCTACTGAGTTTTTCCTGCAACTGTTTTTGTTCCTGATTTACAGCATCTGCTGTTCTTTCAGTTTTTGTGAGTCAGTTTTGTTGGTTTGAGTTATATATTGGCCAGACCCAGATAAGAATGACAGATTTCCACCCCTAAAGGGCGTTTGTGAACCAGAAGAATTTGAATGCTACTGGTGATTTGCTATGTTCTAATTATATTTTAATATAACAAATGCTCTCAAGGTATTTTCTACTCTTCTGTTTTGGTGGTCTTCAATTTAAACAAAAAGAAACAGTAATATCCAACTTATAAGAATGTAAGAGCAGGAGTGCGCAATTCAGGCCCTCAAGACTGCCCTGCCATTTCATACTCATCATGGCCTCAAACTCCCTTTACAGCCTGCTGCCCATAACTCTTCATTACTTAGTAATTAAAAATTTGTCTATCTCCTCCTTAAATTTATTCAACATGCGGCATCCATCGCACCCCAGGCTGGTGAATTCCACAGATTCACCGACCCTTTGAGAGAAGTATAGCTTACAAATGAGAATTGCAAACAAAACCAAAGGAGACTTCATAAATATGAGCTACTGTAGTCCTGGTGTGAGTTCCTCGTATTGATTATAATGTAAGCAGATCGTCACAGTTACATTTCCAGTCGGTTATTCCACTCTCCTCCGCCAGAGGGCGGCTCACTCGCTGACAGCTCGGGAGACCTCAGTGACAGATTCCCCGTTGATCTTAACCTGCTGTTAAATTCAGCGAACAAACTAAAATCGGATCACAACGCGTTGACAATCTATCCTAAACGACATTTTTAATTTAACTCGCTTGGATTGTTTGGTCTGATTTGCACCCTCCGCCCCCTGTCCCCGGTGCAGCGTGGTGGGTGGTGCCGGGCCGGAGCTGTCGCCGCTGGGAGGGGGCCTGAACTGAGGCCGAGGCCGAGGCCTGGGCCGTTGACGGTTCGGTTGGTATTTGGAGGTGAACCTTCAAACCGGTGAGGAGGAGGAGGCAGAGGCAGGTGTAGGGGAGAAGATGGCTGGTGCGAGTGGTAACGTCGCGCAGAAGACTTGGGAGCTGGCGAATAACATGCAAGAAGTTCAGAGCATCGATGAAATCTACAAATACGACAAAAAACAACAGCAGGAAATCCTCGCGGCGAAACCCTGGACTAAGGAGTAAGTATGTTACTCCTGACAGAATCAGAGGAGCAGTCATTGAGACCCTTTTGTAGGCCCGACCCTTGTTACAAGATAATTATGTCCAAAAGTAGCAGCCCAGTCAGTTATTGTTAATAACAGCATTGTCAGAAAGTGCTTTTGGATAAATCTTTAATACAAAGGGATAAAGTAATTTCCTCATAAACACAATTTGTAATTTTTAGTACCTCCTGTTTTATTCTGTATTAGCATATTAGAACTACACGTCCTAAACTTTTCCAGCAAGATTGACTTTAGCAAAAATACAAGTAACCGCGAATGCTGGACATCTGAAAAAATAGCTGAGAAACTCAGCAGGCGTGGCAGCATCTATGCAGAGAAAGTACAGAATCAATGTTAGTGTGGACTCGAAACGTGGACTTAGTTTTCTGTCCACAGATACTGCCAAACTGACTTTAATGCTGCACCACCAGCTCTGTAAGTGTCTGATTATTCTTATTAGTCAATAAAAGACATACAAGAGCATAAGACAAGTCCAGTGACTTTCTTCAGCACTAATCTAAAGAATGTCACCATCTCCCTGGTGCAGGCAACTCTATTTCACCTGTGTGTGTTTTGGCAAGAGGAATAAAAAAGGAGCATTTGAATGGTGAGAGATTGCAGAAGTCGGAGATTCAGAGAGAGCTCAGTGACCTTTGTATTACTCACAAAAGGCTAGTATGCATGCACAGCGAGTAATTAGGAAAGTTCATACAGTATTATTATTTATTGAAATGAGAATTGAAGAAAAAAGTAGGGAACTTATGCTTCAGTAACATTGAGTACTGGTGAGAACACATCAGAAGAACTATTTATTATACTTGTCTCATATGTAAGCAAGGTTGTAAATATATTGGTAGCAGTTCAGACTATCAACCATCATTCAGTAACGAAGGAAGTAAATCACTCCAGTTGCACAAGAATTACATTGGCTACTTTTTTTGTTAACCGGTGAACCAACATATAGCAATTATATGCACAGTTTGAATTTGGAAGTCAGACAATTTGCCTAATTAGTTATTTATAAGTCAGATATACTGTAAGAAAGAAAAATTGCATTCATTCAATGATATTCATGACTTCAGCGCTCCCCAATATGCTACAGTTGATGAAGCACTTTTTACAGTGTAATCATGCTTATGACGGATGAAACTCTGCTGTCAGTTTGCACACGGCAAGTTCACACAAAATGACCAGATGATTATGTTGGTTGATGGATAAGTATGAGAAAAATAATCCTGCACTTGTATATTACCACAGGATCTTTCACACCCTCCTGATGGGAAGGTAGACCTATTTTAATGCCTCATCTGAAAGACAGCATTGCTAATAATATGTGATGTGAGACCATTTCCTTCTGATTCTGAGCCAGAGTGCTTGCCACCGAGCCACTGCTGACTGCTAATAGCCAACATATTGGATAACACTGTCTATGCCCACCCCACCACCAATCCGTGGACTAAAGTACAAAATATTTATTAGATATTTTTTGTATTGTAGTACTGAGGGAGTTTTGCATTGGGTGCGAAGTTAATTTATTTCCCATCCATCTATCCAAAAAGCACAAAGAAGGAAGAGCAGCGAGTTGCCCCAATTGTAGTTGATGTTCTTCCCTTGACCAGCACTACCAAAAACTGTCTCCCTGTAAATTGCTGTTTGCAGGAAGTTGGTGTATGTAGTTTATCTACATAATGAATAAACTATATTTTTATTATTTTTCATTTTAGCAATTATCTTCATATACTGAATAATATTGATAACCTTTATGTATATTGCATGATTAAGATTTTGTTTTCTATCCATTGATATTTTAATTTCTAAGATTTTAGAGTGAATACAAGAGTCTTGTGACTGTAGCAGCAAGGTGAAATGCTACATTTTTCTAATTATTGTAATATATGCTTTCCAGTCATCATTACTTCAAATACTGCAAAATCTCAGCTCTTGCACTTTTGAAGATGGTGATGCATGCCAGATCAGGTGGAAATCTGGAAGTGATGGGGTTAATGTTGGGTAAAGTGGATGGTGAAACAATGATCATAATGGACAGTTTTGCTCTCCCTGTGGAAGGAACGGAAACAAGAGTCAATGCTCAGGCTGCTGCATATGAATATATGGCTGCCTATATAGAGAATGCTAAACAGGTATGTTAAATAAATTTACAGATTTTCCAACTTCCAACTCCTGTTCTTTGAATATGTTGCTAATGAAAAAAGTTGTTTATTTTCAGGTCTTTTAAAACTTTTTTTTTGTAACTGGAGTATCTGTCTATGCTTAGTGTAAACTTTTCAACTCTGTGCACAACTTTCTGTTATTAGGTTTTTGTCACGATAATTGCCAACTTTTTTCCAGTTCTGAATGTGCAAGTTTCCTTTGTTTACATTTCATTTTAGGATTTGTTTATTTGAACATGTCATTCTGCCAATCTGGTGACTGGGTTCTTGCAAATCTTTTCCAAAATTTTTATAGAATTATTTTTTTTTCTCCCTTGCTGACTTAAATATCTATACCAAAGTAAGAGTTTGAAAAACAAACAAAAATCTCATATTTGCCTGGTTGCATTTATCCATTAAATTATTTTTAATCACTTAATTGCTGCATTTACTTTAAGGTCTTCACCTTCCTCAAAAGTTCGTGTATGGACTTAACAAAGTTTGCCCAGTCCTGTGAGTTGGCTATAGTTTGTGTAGTCTGGACATAAACAGTGTATGCTGTTTCACAGGTCTCTTGAGTGCTAGTCAACGGTATTTTTTTAGCTACACATTCTGCATTGCAGGTTTTCTCCAAAATAACCTGAGAACTATAAGGCAAGCTTCTCAAACATAGGGTTGATGCAGTCCATTTTGGACTGAGTACTAACAGCTGTTTGGTCCCTTTAATTCCTCTTTTTCATTGTAGACATGGCCTAATTAGCTAATCATTGAAACCTGATTCCAGTCCAGGGGGAGAAAAAACTAAATGCAAAAGAACATTTTATTTGGAAAGTCTGTAAATTAGACAGTAATCATCTGCTACTGGCCCTCCACCCTTGCCTGATCACTTATTTATTTTCTCCTTTTTTCCCTCCACTTTGGTTCTGGGGTCATTGCAATCTTAAAGCATTAAAATGGAGTAACAACAGAAAAGTTTTGGGAAGTGCTTGACATAAAAACAAATTTCTAAGGAAACATTTGTGTTTTGATTTGTTTATGAGGCTTTGACTGTGTGAGAAACTGAGGGTTGTGGAGATTTTGGAGTGTTAGAAGTCAATGATTTCTGTCTTCCCAAAATGTAGTTGGAGGAAATGTCAAAACATTCAAAATTAGATGCAAGATGAGCAGTCTGGCAGTAAAGGAGATGAGAAAAGAGTTTGAGAAGTAGATGCTGGATCCGTCTGTGACACTACATCTATAAATGCTGTCACTGTGAGGTAGAATGCCAAAGGAGAGCATTAAATGGATAGACATTTGCAGAACTTTCTAATCCTGGTGTGGCATGGGAAAATAGGTTCAAGAGGCTCTGGTTACGTAGGATCCTGGGATCTCTATTCATTTCAAACCAGAGTTATGACATACTAACAGATCACTTGGAGACAAGCTGTATATATTGGTAAGTTTACTTCCACAGATTCAAAATCACAGAGTTTACAGTAACAGTCTCAGAACCTTTTATTTCCCTTTTCAGCATTCTGCCTTGGTTCTTTTATGGACAGGTAAAGAGCATCTGAAATAGGAGTAGGACATTTCGCTACTAAAGCATGCAGATCATGGCTGATCTGTCCTAGGCCTCAATTCTGCTTTCATGCCAGCTCAGTAAAGTAGAAATTTCAAAAATCTGTCTATCTCACCTTTTTGGGGTAGAGAATTCCAGACTTTCACTACCCTCTGGGAAAAGAAATTACTTCACATCTCGGTTTACAACGAATGATCCCTTGTTTGGTAACTATGTTCCCTAATTTGAGATTCCCAATTAGTGGAAACATCTTCTCAACATCTACCACTCAAACCTCGTCAGAATCTTGTATGTTTCAATAGGATGACCCCTCATTCTTATGAACGCAAATGAGTAAAGGGGATCCTGCAGCCTTCTGGACACAGTGTCAATAATTTTAGGGCCTGAACACCACCTTCAATGTCCATTAGCCACCACCGCACCCCAGATCTTGTTATGACATGGGCTGCTTTCTGCACAGCCAACTCATTTTCATCTACTATGGTCCCCATTATCAACTTTTCTGCTTCCCTTGCATACCATTATCCATTCCTTTCTCTGCCTAACTGTTTTCCTTTCCCTCTGGGCTCTGTCTCCACCTATTCTTTTTTATATGTCACCTTTCCGTAGCTGCTACCAGTCCTGATGAAGGGTCACTGGACCCAAAACATTGACTGTATTTCCTGCTGCACAGATGTTGCCAGGCCTGCTGAGCAGTCACAGTTCTTTGTTTTATTTGAATAAACAGCATGTTTAGCTTTTCTTGGTAAGTCAATCTGTCAGTGCCGGGAATCAGCTTAAAAGGCAGTCAAGGCAGTTTGTTTTCTATCTGTCATTGTTGCTTAATCTGTGATAAAGCAATTTGCAGTCTTTTAGTTCATTCTGAAAAAGTCTCTTTTAGCCTTTTAAACTCTGCTGATGTGTAGGATTTAGTAATGGGGGCACTTCTAAGATACAGTCTAGGATAACAAATAAGAATTCATATAGATTTTCAAATCCTCTCCCTCCTCCACCCCCAACCCACCTCAAAAACACCTGCTCCACTATTTGATAAGATTTAATTGCAGCCCTAACTCTACTGTCTGCATCCTGTACCCTCACTTCGTCACTGATCAAAAATCTGTCTACCTCAGCCTTTAATATACTCAATGCATCAGCCTCCACTGCTTTTTGGGTTAGCAAATCGCAAAGATTAAGAACCCTCTGATTGATGAAATACCTCCTCATTTCCATTTTCAATGGGAGACCTTTTATTTGGATGACATGACCAACTCCCTCATTCTAGATTCCTCAAGAGGAAACATTGTGTTAGCATCCACCCTGCCAAGCCCCCTCAGATTCTTAAATATTTCAATGATAGCACGTTTTATTCTTTTAAGGTCCAGTAATTTCACTTTGGCTGCAGTTAGGAGTTATCTTTCATGATTTTGGTTGACACTGTTTTGATGAAAACTCTGTTTTCTTCCCAGATACTGCCAGACTGTTTACGTTTCCCCAGCAGTTTTTGCCTTCCTTATCCTTGACCTGCCTGCAGTGTTTGGCATAGTTGATCACACCATTCTGTGCCTCTCCTCCATTGTCCATCTTAGTGGTTCTGTGGATTCTTGGTTTCATTCTTATCTATCTAATCGTAACCAGGGAATCACTTGCAGAGACTTCTGTTCCTGCTTCCACAGTTAGCTGACATTTCCAAGACTCCTTGGTTGCCTCATTTCCCATTTATATGTGCTGTTCAGTGACATCTAATAAAACCATATTTTTCCATATGTATACTGCTGGCACCCAACTTTACTTCACCACCATCTCTATTGTCCCTCCAGTATTTCTAAATTATCAGACTGCTTGTCAGACATACAAGACATTACAAACTTTATTCCCTAGCTGACTTCCGTGGCAACTTTCTGAGGCTGAACTATTTGCAATCTGCCATAAATCATTCTGAGGTGAGCTTTCAACTACATCTTTGTGCTGGCACTAGGCCCACTTGTTCTCAGCTGCCTAACGTCACCAATTCTACCCCTGCCTCAGCCCTTCTGCTGGAACCCTAGTCCATGTCCATCTTCCAGGAGTATCACTTAAAGTTTTGGCTATTATTGGAGATTTTAAATTTTTTTTTTACTTGTTTCTTTTATTTCTTTCAAATTCATCTTTTTCTTTCTACTTATGCATGATTTGTCATTGAATTGGATTTTCAACTTCAGCAGAATCTGAACCAAGAAGTGTGTGTCATTTGAAAATACTTCAATTAAATCAAGGAGCTACAATTGTTCCCCTTGTCCATGCAGGTTCCCGTCTGGAGGGTGCCATAATGATATAAATTTGTTATTGTTGCATAACCCACATAAAACCTGTGAGAAAGTAATTAACACAACATTCATTCGCTGCTGACTGCAAGAACCAGGCCATGATCTTCAGAATCATATCTAACATCTCTACAGCAATCATTTAATCTGCCACTTTCTCATGGGTTAAGACTTTGGTTTTTCCTAATTGTATATTTTCTACCCAGTTTTGTAGGTGAAAATTATTCAGTACGTGTAAATGCTTGTGAAAATATCTTGAATGGTAGTGGCAGAAACATTCATCTTATTTAAGAAGTATTTAGGTGTTCACTTGCAATGCCGAGGCATACAGGGCTGTGGGCGAAATTCTGGAAAATGGGATTAGAATAGTTAGGTGGTTGCTTTTGACAGGTGCGGATGCGATGATCTGAAGGGCCTTTTTTCTGAGCTGTAGATCCGTATGACTTTATTTAATCTCTGGTAGTGATATACCTAAGGGTATTTGACATACATATCATGTATGACTAGAAATGCATCCATAAACTAGGCATAATAGGAATTTAATGGCTAGGTCAAATTTAGTTCAAGAATTTCTTCTTTCTCAAGCAGAAACAGAAGATGCCAGCAGATGGTGCTATTTAGCTTTGCTAATTACTGAAGAGCTAAAATATCTTTAAGTTATGTTTCTAAAATTGTGAAGTCTTAATGGAACCACTTTGTAAAAATCAATTGAATAGAAATACAGCAAATAACATTGATTCAAAAAAGGCAAGAAGGGTCTACGCAATACACGTTGCTTACTCATTTCGGGACTATGGTTTGAAGGAACTGCAGCATCTAATTGTTGGAGTTGAGTGAACTGAAGTACAAAAACAGTTATAACGCCAAGAATAATTTGGTATCAGCTGCACATGTTGGTTGAGCATCATCACTCACCCACACTCAGCACCTGCTTCATGGCTGCTGTCATCATTTACTATTTAAAATATTGGAAATGGAAACAATGGATCGTACAACTCTATTTTATTAGGCAGTACAGTTGAATTTGTATTTATTAAAAGCACCACAGTACCTCTTGTGAGAATTGAGTTTACATTTAAGCTATACAATATTTATCTGTTTTAATTTGAAATCTACATCTGAAATACTAGTGCATCTTTTTATAAAGCATTTTTTGTTTCAAATTCTGGCATCAGTTTTTTTTGTTTTTTTTATGGTTGCCTCTTAAAATTTCTCACAATGTTTTTGCTTTTGTTGTGAGGCATATTCAGTTTAAAACAAAATTTGTGGGTTTTTTTTGTATTTTTGAGTTTGCAATCTGAACTTTATTCTCTCTTTTCAAATTCTGTCCGTGTTTAATTTTATTCTCCAATTACGTTAGGTTGGACGTCTTGAAAATGCAATTGGCTGGTATCATAGTCATCCAGGTTATGGATGCTGGCTTTCAGGAATCGATGTTAGTACTCAGATGTTAAATCAACAGTTTCAGGAACCATTTGTAGCAGTTGTGGTATGTATTTTATTTGTATTCTACTTGAGGTACATCACAATATATCAGAAAACTAATAAAAATATGTGCTTTTTGTCAACTTTTCCCACTAAGTTCTGATATGAAATTTATAATAAAAACTATCAATGTAAAAATTTATTTGAGGGTGTGCAAATTCCATTATAAATGTTGACGTAGATTTTTTAAAAATCTATCAAAGTGTACAATTTCAAAATGAGGAGTGACTTACACATCATACTCACTGACTTCAGAATGGCTTGATTTTACTAACAACCTATAGCTCACATTCGTCACCTAAGCTGTAACCGGACTTTTGTTTGTTCAGTTTAACTTAATCCATCTTGAAATATTCAATATTTAACTCTAACTATGTAAAATTATAGCAGTAAAATTTATTTAGCCCATTATATCTGCACATGTTCTCAAAGAGCTATCAGCTTAGTCCATCCCTCTCCTGTATTTATACCCTTTAAATTTTCCTTTTAAGTGTACTATCTGTTTTGTTTCCACCTAGTCTTTGTCCCTCCATACATTCTGAAACCAGGAATGTTTAATTTTTGGTCTTTGCTGTAACCTAAATAATGTGCGTTAAATGTTATTGTACTCCACCAAAGTAATGTATGCCTTTGACTAACCAATTTTATTCACAAAATACTTTGTGCATTTATATGTGTGGATCTCAAACCTAGCAGTCTTACTCAATTTAATTCCATTTTCTCTTCTCTGTTTTTCCTTAATTTTTCTCTGGCTGTTTTTACTTTCTTTCTGCTTCCTCATCGTTTTCTTCCAGCACTCACCATTCCCATACCAACATTGTCCTAACTATGTAAAATATTTCTCTACTACACTACTTAATCTGGCAGTGAAGATATCAATTCTACCTTAGGTGAGGTCCATTTGCCCAGGATTTACTGCAGATCTAATCCCAATGACCCACAGATTATATCTTCCACCTGTACCTTCACTCAAACCATGCATTTCACTGTCTTGTTTGACTTCTCCTAGGAAGTGCTAGGAATAATTCCGACAGTTATGTCCTTGGCTCTCAAATGGACCTTTTAATTTCTGTATTTCCATTTACAAGATCAAAAACAATAACTTTCCAGCAATGGAAGAAATTTCTGTTGATCCAGTAGTGAATATTGGAAATTCAGCCTGATAATTCAGCAACAGAGAAGGCGTGGTGCAAGGTGACAGTGGCAAAGTTATACGATCTCATAGCGTACTTTGGAGCACACCTATGATTACAGATTATATTGCCAAAGGCCTGCATTTGGATAAGAAATAGAAGTGGACCAAGGATAAATCTTTCAGCAATATGAGGAAAATTATGGGAGTGGGGAGAAGTGACTGCAAGTTACATTGGCAACAATTAGATAGTTAAGAATGAAACCCAGCAAATGCATTTCAATTTTGATAGAGTGACATCGAAAAGGCTGGTGTGGTCAACACCTGTGGCAAGTTGAGAAAAATGATGAGGGAAAATTTTCCTTTCTCACAGCTAGTAAGGCTATCATTTATGATTTTTAGTAAGAGTTATTTGATTGCTGTAGCAGTCAGGAATCTGACTCAAGGAATTCAAACATGGAATTCCAGGAAAAATAGGCATAAGAGTTCATTCAAGTTCTTTGAAAGAAATGGGAGACTGGTGATGGACCAATAACTTACAAGGATGATGGGGTTAAGGGTTAGGTTTTTTGAGGAGAAAGGTACTTAAATACTTAGAGAAGAGAGGGGCAGCACCTGAAGAGACAGAGGGATGGCACGGTGGCTCAGTGGTTAGCACTGCTGCCTCACAGCGCCAGGGGCCCGGGTTCGATTCCACCCTCGGGTCTGTGTGGAATTTATGGGCGGTATGGTGGCTCAGTGGTTAGCACTGTTGCCTCGCAGCACCAGGGACCCGGGTTCGATTCCAGCTTCGGGCGACTGTCTGTATGGAGTTTGCACATTCTCCTCTTGTCTGCGTGGGTTTCTTCTGGGTGCTCCAGATCCTCCCACTGTCCAAAGATGTGCAGGCTGGGTGGATTGGCCATGCTAAATTGCCTGTAGTGTTCAGGGATGTGTAGACTAGGTGGGTTATAGGGGGATCGGTCTGGGTGGAATGCTCTGAGTGTTGGTGTGGACTTGTTGTGCCGAAGGGCCTGTTTCCACACTGTAGGGATTCCATGAAATAACTTTTAGCAGTATCAATTAGCACTGAGGTTAGGAATGGAAGTTGGGTTCTTAACAGGTTAATTTGAATATGGTTGAAGGAGCAGGTGATGTAACTCATGGGGAAGATGTATTTGAAATGGCATGAAGGGAGATGAAGAAAAAATTGAGAAAAATACGAGTTCAACGTCAGGGCACCAGGGAACTGTAGATGTAGCTTGGCCAAGTGAACAGGTATGAGGGAGGGAAGAATCAGCTGATCCAAAGACTTTACCTTCCTGTAAAGAAGTCCATGGGTTCCTTGTGTCTCATTTGATGTGATGGTGAAGGAGACATAGAAAAGGGTTTTAAGCAGACAATTTGCAACAGAGAAAAGTAGCTAGGGGTTATCTTTGCATTTTAAGATGCAAATCTGGTAGTGAACAGCTAAACCATAAACATATTGTCAAGTACATTCTTTCAAATTTCGATTTAAGGGAGTGGAGATGAGGGGAAATGGAAAACGTGAAAGAAAGTTATGGTTTATTAGTGACTAGGGCATTAAAGATGAAGATGAGGGCATGGTTGAGCAAATCAGATGTTGCAGAAATATTGTGGGGTTGGTTGAATATGCGATGGGGTTTTATTAAGAGGGAGAGATATAAGGAATATAGAAGATAGTGAGCTCTGAAATTTCTGTATAATTTTTGAAGTCTTCTAAATTCATTATTTCACAAGTCATAAATTATTTCAGTTTATTTTGTAAATATACTAGTGGAATAAATTGATAGTTTTATAATGTACATTGTATCATTGAGATGGTTGCACATAAACTATTTATTTGCAGTGTATATTAATTTTTCAGTTGCTTTTTTAAAGGTAGTTTCAGTTGATGAGAAGAATTTTTATAAAGTTATGTTGATCAAGAGTTATTGTTTTAGATTGACCCAACAAGAACTATATCTGCTGGAAAAGTAAACCTAGGGGCATTCAGGACATATCCTAAGGTAACTATTTCTATTAATTTGTTGACTTTGATTCCTTCTTCTCCTGAAACAATTTAGCTATTACAAGCTTTTGAATCTGTTTGACTAGGCCATGCTTTTATTAAAAAAATTCTGAAACACAGAGTAGGCTATTTCATCAGCAAGGAGATGCACCCTCCTCTTGGATAATGAGGCTAATTGTAATGCTCTTCGTCATAGTGCCTCTGTAAAAACTGGTGATCAAATGGCAGATGTTCCAAATCCACATGGCTGAATGATTCACCAATTCCAACAATGTGAGACAACCTAAGATAAATTTAACCTAGGAAATAAGAATCTTCTGCTGTGTGTTTTTGTTTTTAAGAAAAAAAGTTGTATTGGGAGCAAAAAGTAGAAGCCCTTAAATATTTCCATTACATTTCGTCCTGCCAGCGAGCATCAGGCAATTGTAGCCATCCCACAAGCAGTATATAACTGTTGTCACTACCACTGCATAGATAAATGATCCATAGAACTATGCGTTGAATTTGTGATCCCCTGCAGGCTTCTGGTTCTGCTGTTTACTTTAAATATCTTCATTTCTAATGTAACTGTTGCTGAGATGTTTGCTGCATTTTAAATTGCTTGATTTGGCCTTGATGGTCTCTCCTACCTCAGTAACTGAGTTATTTTTTTCTGTATATCTCAAACTTGTATTATAAGTCTCTACCAGCTTCAGCAGTATCAATACTTTTAGAGACTTTTCCCAGCTGTCCTCTTGATATTTACAATTTTTACTGACTGTCTTCCACCACCCAACCCACTACTGTCAGCCTTGCAACAACAACTTGCATTTATATACTGATTTTATCAATATACATTCTCCCAAGGCATTTTGCAGGAGTGTTAACAAACAAGATGTGACACAGAGCCTCATAAGGAGACATCAGAGTAGATGACCAAAACCTTAATCAGAGAAATGCTCGTAATGAGGTTTCTGTTGAAGGAAAAAGAAATAAAGATGTGGGGCTCTTTAGGGAGGGACCTCCAAAGTTTAGGATCTAGCTACCTAAAGGCATACTTTTCATTGGTGGATACGTGAGGCCAGAATTGGAAGAACACAGACCGGAGGAGACACAGAGATAGGGAGAAATTTGAAAATAAAGATGAGAATTTTGAAACAGAGGTGTTGCTTGATCCGGACCTAAATAGGTCAGTGGTTTTGGTAATAGGAGAGTTTGGAGGGCATGGGAGTAATTGTATAAGTATTTGTAACAGAGTTTTGGATGAACTTTATTTATATGGGGTGGAAAATGGAATGCTTACTAGGAGAGCATTGGAACAAATGAGAGGAAACAAAGTCATGAGTGAGCTGCTTTTGTGTCCTCTGTGTGTCATCCATTCTTTTTGGCTCTCCTCTGCTTCTTAATTGGCCAAGTATGATTTTTTTTCTTTACAGACAATATGCTCAATGTTAATTTTGCTGTGAATTTAGATGCAGATATTATCAAGGAGCAAATTGAGAGTGAGACAGATATCAGCTTCAAAGAATTGGAGAATGGAGAGAAGAGGCTGAGTAATCAAGGTTGTGGAGGAAGTAAGGGTAGATATTGGAGGGCAATTCATGGCATAAAGATGATTAGAAATTGGGAGCTGATAAAGAAATTACAAAGATGGAATGAAAATTAAAAATTCTCTTACTGCTGAAACTGTCTTAATTTTAATTGTAGTTGCAAGCATTTATTTTAAATAAGAGAAGCTTTGATATCATTTTTAAAAATAGGTCATTTCAACTTTTTGAAAATATTATTTAGAAGTTTTATTATATATTTTATTTTCTAGGGTTATAAACCACCTGATGAAGGTCCTTCAGAATACCAGACTATTCCACTTAACAAAATAGAAGACTTTGGAGTACACTGCAAACAGTAAGTTACCACCTAGGAAGTTTTTGTCTCAAATTCATCTACTTTTCAGTGAATTATAACTTTGCAATGTTTACAGGAAATGTGCTTCATTCATTTTAGAGTATTTTATGGCTTTCCTGAACCTGCTGGTAGTGATGATTGCAAAGACATCAGCACTTGCTGCACTACTCCTTTGAAACTGACAGCAGCTTATGGCATCGTAAATGCATAGTAAAACATGGAACTCAGGAACTTAATATCAGTGGGTCCATGTTTCGCTGGAGGACATGCTGTTGAGATCCTCCCAAAATACAGTAAATTAGAAATAATGGTCTAGATATTCTCAAAAGTGCCAACAGTCATCAGATTGCCAGTCCACAGTATCCATTGCTGCTCCACATTTCTGGTTGGGTCTTTCAAGCCCAGCTTCTCCAGAAATGCAGAGTGTAGTCCATCACTGCTGTAGTGTTGGGGAAAGTTGTCTCCTTTTTACTGCACTGGTTTAAAGCTCCAGGATCAATATTGGTGAAAAGTTCAGTGTTTGTATCGAGAAGTCAAGCAGGGTTCACATGGGGTTGGGGGTCAGGTCTGTGGCAGATCTGATTGGGTCACGTCAGGATTTTCTTTTTAGTTTTGTTCATTCACAGGATATGGGCCCCCATAATTGCTGTTAGAGAAAGGTGATGTTGAACTGCTTTCTTGAAATTCTGTAGTCTTTTAGAATGTAGGTTGGAAAGATGATTCAGGACTTTGACCCCCTGCCCCAAGTAAGCAAGGGTGTTGAGTGTTGGGGTGGGGATTGGATTGTGGGGCAAACTGTGTATGAAGGTCAGTTGTGAAGTTACCCTGGGAGTTAGAGTAGGATTTTTCTGTCTAACATTTCTTGGGTAACTGTCCAGGTAAGTACTTTGGAACTGTTTGATATCTCTAACTCTAACTCAGAATTGGAGACTTTTGCAGAAAGTCCTGGGGAACAAGGGATTTGCACCTTGGATGTTGAAACTTCTTGGGCAGATTTCATGATGTCCCAACATACCAACATTCCTGGGTCATACAGCTGGTCTCCAGTGATCCAGAGACCAAAAGCTCTGAGTCAATTGAATTAACGTAAATTTGCACTGTTAGTCTCACGATTCAAACTCTTGTAAGCGTTTCATTTTAATTGTAACTTAGTTCATAACAATGTGTATTGAGTACATAATTACTGATAAATAACCTCAATAGTCCAAAAGGGTAATTTTTATATTCAAAGAAGGTTAGACAGGGGAGCAGACTGAGAGCTTGAAAACTGGGTGAGATGGCAGTGACAGACTGCAAAACAGCACAAGAAGGAGTCTGCAGTGGAAACTGCCTAATGTAGTTTGCTTTTCGGTACAGGGAAAAAACTGGTGAGTACTGGTAAGTTTTTCTACTATTCTAATTGTAACAAATACTTATTAAAGTTACGGAATGATAGGTCAGCTTGACCAACTGGAATGAGCATCCTGCATTACGTGTGAAGACTTTCTTCATAATATTAAAAAGATCTTAAAGTACTTTCCAAAATCTTCAAGCTTTGTGATGTCATCATCTTGAAGTGCACCCAACATTCACTGAATGTCATGCAAATAAACAAAGTGGTCATTACATGAAGGCCTCATCTGTTACCATTTGAGTGCATCATATAGACCTTTTTGAAGAACAAGAACTTTCAATGTCCCGAAAAACACTTGTTCGTTAACCAGAAACAAACTTTCATCTATTCCTGTGGAATGCTCATCAAAGAATGGCATCTTTGCATAGAGTGTTGACTATATTATGAGTTCATATTCTGATGTTCACCTTGACAGGATCAGGATGAAGTGATTTCTGTTTGTAGCAATGTCATCTGCTAAATACTGACCATTATGCTTTGCCTTACGGTGACATCCAGCAGTTTTGAAGGTGACTGGCAAAATCCATTGCTCAACTGCTTCTTTGTAAACACCAATGGATAACGCAGGAAGATTGAATTAGAATTCAAAGCATTTCAAAGCCCATTGAACACACTATTACAGGTTATACTCAGTGAGAAAATGTTTTGGTTTGGTGTTGTAATCTGAATGATTTATTTTTGTTCAGGTATTATGCCCTTGAAGTTACTTATTTTAAATCATCTTTGGATCGTAAGCTACTTGAACTTCTGTGGAACAAGTATTGGGTGAACACACTTAGTTCATCAAGTTTGCTAACAGTAAGTTGTCTACCTTTTTTAATTAATCTAATTTGAGGTGATGATGCAGTGAGAAAGTGTTATTCTTTTCTGCTACAGTGTTACTTTCTTGTTGGCAAGAACATTTTCTTTTCCGTAGAGTGCTTGCAGCCAAAATGCAAATTTAAAAACTGTAGACTTGGCTAACTAGATTACATGTGTAGAATTGGAGCAGTCTAGTTTTACTTTGTGCTAATAATAAGATTACACAATAATCTAGTCCAGACACAATGAGTTGAATGTCCTACTTCTGTACTGTAAAATTCTATGATTCTGAATGAACTAAACATACTGCTAAATTTGCAGTTTACACCACGAAAATTAGAAAAGTAAGTTATCAAAATGGAGTAGAAAGTTTGCAAGTAAGTAATATTGACAAGTAAGTAACTGAGCAGAAATTCAGTAGATGTAGTATAATATGGGAAAATTTGAATTTGGCCACTTTGGAAGAATGGAAAGGTAATGTACTATTTACATGAGGAGAGATTGCAGAACTTGTGATTCAAAGGGATCTGGGTCTCCTGGTACTAGAGGACAGAATATTTATTTCTTAAAAGTTACCGTTTGGTTTTCAGGGGATTAATTTGAGTTATTGTTGTCACGTGTACCGAGTGAAAAGTGTTGTGCTTTACAGGCAAATCTTACCATGCAAAGTGCATCAGGGTAGCAAAACAGAGCGCAGAATATAGTGTTACAGCTGCAGAGAAGGTGCAGAGGGAGAGATCAACATTAACATTTGAGAAGTCCATTCAAAAGTCTGATAACAGCAGGGAAGAAGCTGTTCATGAATTCGAATGTGTATTCAAATTTTTATTTCTTCTGCCCAATGGAAGAGAGTGTAACCAGGGCAGGAGGGGACTTTGATTAGTTGGTTGCTTTCATGAGACAGTGGAACGTATAGATGGAGTCAAATGCATGGAAGGCTGTTTTGTGTGATGGACTGGGCTGTGTTCACGACCCTTGTAGTAGTTTCTTGCGGTCTTGGGAAGAGCAATTGCCATACCACGTTGTGATCCGTGCAGTTAGGATGCTTTCTTTATGGACATGCCAAATTTCCTTAACTTCTGAGGAGGTAGAGATGTTGTTGTGCTTTCTTGACCTTCTCGCCAACATGGGTGGAGCAGGACAGATTGTTGATGATCATCACTCCCAGGAACTTGATTCTCTCGACTTCTCCACCTTAGCACCATTGATACAGATTTGGGCATGCCCTCCACTCCACTTCCTGAAGTCATTGACCAGCTCCTCCGTTTTGCTGATGTTGATGGAGAGATTGTTGTCTTTACGCCATGCTGCTCAGCACTCATTCTCTTCCCTCTATTGCATCTCGTCGTTAATTTGAGATCCAACCTGCAATGGTGGTGTCATCAGCAAACCTGTCAATGGAGATAGCAAGAACTGCACATGCTTGAGTCTGAGTCAATACAGTGTGGAGCTGGAGGAAACACAGCAGGTAAGGCAGCATCAGAGGAGCAGGAAAGTTGATATTTCGGGTTTCCACCCTTCATCAGTCCTGATCAAGAAGGTTATTCACCGTCCTTCTCTAAGGTGATTAATGATGGCCAATTGCTGGTAACACAACATTTCTAGAAGGAAATTTTTAAAGATCACACAATTCTATGTTTGAAACCTTCCTATCGGATTTCTGCGCCTGCCACAGGACTTGGGCTTGATTACTTTGCATTCAGTTTGATACCAAAATGAGAGAATTGAAGAACCAGAGGAAGAAGTAGCCCAGTTACAGAATTCATTAGATACATAATGGGCATAAAAATGGCAAACTAAATTTAATGTGGGAAAGTAAAATATTGAAGGTGGGTAAGAAAATATTTAACTGAGGGACTTGGGAATCGTAGTAGATTTAATAATAAATGTCCGAACAACATGGAATTATAATTTTAAAAATTAACTCCATTGCCAAAAGAGTAGAGTAGGCCAGGTGAAGTCGTAATCAACAATACACTGGTCAAGCCAGACATTGGCACTGCAACCAGTTCTAATTACTGTGACACAAGGGGCAATAATACAGTGCTAAAGTTAGTGCAGCAAAAAAAAATGAGGCATATCCCTGTACAGGTAGTTCCCCGATACTTCGATAGTTGCATTCTTGTGTGACCTCGCTCTATAGAAAATCGCCATAGAATGTCGTGTTATGGGGAAATCACTATACCTGTACAGCAGAAAGTTCGCGTTATCCAAACAGCGTCCACTATTCATCAGTTGTGTTACAGCCAATTGGCGTTAACGAAACATGTATTATAGTAGAACTACCTGTATTATAAAAACGAAAAGAACTGCAGATACTGTAAATCAGGAACAAAAACAAAGTTGCTGGAAAAGCTCAGCAGGTCTGGCAGCATCTGTGGAGGAGAAAACCGAGTTAACGTTTCGGGTCTGGTGACCCCTCCTCAGAACAGTTCTGAGGAAGGGTCACCGGACCCGAAA